ACCAATCACATTGGAACAGGGTTACAGGCGAGTAAACAGTGCATGTGAAAGTAACAAAAGGAAGCTATTGCATCTGCATTTCAGAACCAGGTTCATGGAGTTGTGGTAGTGGGATGGATTTATAGATAAACCAATATAGAGCTGAATTGATGAAAGAGGTGTTTATTAAACACAATCAATAAAAGGAACAAAAATGATAGTACTCAGACAACATAAGGGTCTTGTAGAGGATCTCTTGTAGGGGCCAAAGTGGCTACATGTTGGCAAAATTGCGTATTTGGTCTTTGAGTCTGTAACTCAAATACCTGAGGGTTTTTTTTTTAGTTTTAACACCCCTTTTATCTCAAGGAGACATAAAGGTGCTGATCCCTTATTCATTTGACTGTCTTTACACCTTGTGTGTTTCATCACTTCACAGTGTCTATATTTCTAGTTAACACAAGTCTGCACAACCACGGCAGTTTTAAATAACTTTTCACTGGCTGTGAAGCTACTGTTCAGTGTATTGTAAACACAGGACATCTGCAGAAAAAATCCACTAATGTTTTTCTCTGTGAAGCGTCAGACTTTCATCAAGCTGTTTCCCTCTGCATATTTCGATTTTTCTTTCTTCCTGTCAGAAAGCGCACACAAACAGAAATGAAGGACTTCGAACATGAATCTCTCTGCGCCAAATGCCTAATTGGAAAACTGGGCTTTTTAAGCACACTTTTGTCTCTTAGACATCAAACACTGATTTTCTTTCTGCTGTCTTCCTCCCTCCTCCAGTGTTTTTGTCAGCACATTTCTATTTCATATTTTGAAATTTATTTTTCATTATCCTGAAACATATCTGCAAATCAATTCTATGATCTCTGGCAGGGCAACTCTAGACATCTCAGCCAACAGTGTTACCTGTACACTGTACCACATCAACATCACACCTGAAACAAAGATAACATATGTAATATGCTAAATACTTTAAATTTTACTATATACGAAATAGTTTCAGGTAGATCAAAAACTTTAAATTAACTGTAAAGAACCAGAGGTAGCTCCGGCCACATACTGGCCAGTCTGTATAGCAAGAATGGGGCTACAATGGCTCCAGTGCCACTAGCTGATGAACACACTGACGCACCCAAATTTCTGTGAGAAATTAAAACTGACAACAGGAAGTTAGAGCCACATTGGTCTGAAAAGTGAAGCCAATATAAAAGTGTCTTAAACCTGCTCTTTTTTTAATGGGCACCAGAGGGCGATAACGGTGGTTTGAAAGGACTGGTGGTAGACTTTTGCCTACAGAGATTTCACACATGATGCAAGTGCACATTGCTTTTGAGATGTCTCCAATAATGTGAATTCGATACAACCACT